CCAGTATCTGTATAAGCAGGGATATAAACATACCTTCTCATATAGTAGTAACATACTACCAGTATCTGCCCTGCTTATAGAGAAGGTATGTCTATATATATAGTAGTAACATACTACCAGTATCTGCCCTGCTTATAGAGAAGGTATGTTTATATATATAGTAGTAACATACTACCAGTATCTGCCCTGCTTATAGAGAAGGTATGTCTATATATATAGTAGTAACATACTACCAGTATCTGCCTTGTTTATAGAGAAGGTATGTTTATATATATAGTAGTGACATACTACCAGTATCTGCCTTGCTTATAGAGAAAGGTAGTCTCATATATATAGTAATAACTACACTACCATATTCTGCCCTGGCTTATAGATCAGGGTATCACGCTTATATATTATATAGAGTGAGAGATACTACCAGTATCTGCGCCTGCTTATAGAGAACGAGGTTATGTCTATCATAAGTAGTATAACATCGTAACCCGAAGTATCTGCCCTGCTTATCAGAAAGAGTATGTACTAACTATGAATTGTAGTCAACATACTACCAAGTATCTCTGTCCTGCTCTAATAGAGAAGGTAGTCTAAAGCTCAGAAGTCATACTGCCTCTGCTTCAGAGAGAAGGTATGTCTATAGTATCTGCCCTTTGTTATAGATAAGGTATGTTCTAAGTATAACGCTGCCTTCGCTTATAGAAGAAGTATGTCTAAGCGTAGCTGCGTTGCCTTTATAGGAGAATGTATATCTAAGTATCATGCCTTGCTTTAGTAGAGAAGGTATGTCTAAGTATCTGCCTTGCTTATAGATAAAGTATGTCTAAGTATCTGCCTTGCTTATAGAGAAGGTATGTCTAAGTATCTGCCCTGCTTATAGAAAAGGTATGCCTAAGTATCTGCCTTGCTTATAGAAAAGGTATGTCTAAGTATCTGCCTTGCTTATAGAGAAGGTATGTCTAAGTATCTGCCTTGCTTAAAGAGAAGGTATGTCTAAGTATCTGCCTTGCTTATAGAGAAGGTATGTCTAAGTATCTGTATTGCTTATAGAGAAGGTATGTCTAAGTATCTGCCTT